AACTTGTCCGTTAGATGTTAGTTGGTCACCATCTCACCAAAACAGTTGTTTCCTTTTCGTAATTCCTCTGTTTCCTTGTTCAATATGCGTTTATTCTATGTATAAATATAAATAAATTTATTTTAGAGTAAATTCATTATAATATTATTTACATATGTATTGATTTCATAAAATATTTTAATTTTATCTTTCTTCTTTTGAATAAATAATAAAATAAATAATTTATTAACTTTAGTAAAAGTAATTTATAATTTATTACAAAGTGCATTCATACTTCATTTTGTTTGGTGTTCACCACTGCACACCGAGAATATATGCGAATTTAAATTCAACTTTTATATGATTTAATTTTATCATTAAATTTGAATTTTATTGAATTTTACTATCAACTTTAATTTTTAATTAAATCTTATCACTCAATATTGATGTAAATTTTAACAATAAAATATTCTCTTAAATATTTTATTTTAATAGTTAAGTATAAATTCTTTTAAAAAAAACGGATTTTTTCTTCTTTCTTTTTCTTGTTACTGTAATAAAAATATGAGAAGCTCTATACCCATAAAATATCACTAAAAATATTCAATTATCACTAAAATAATATATTTTGGATATTTATTTTATTTTTGTGATATTTAATTTATTTTTGTGAAACTTAAATGTTACGAGTTTATTATTACGAATTTAAAATAACATCTCGTTTGTCTATTATTCATATTTACTTTTCTTTTGTAAATACAACAATAAAATATCGATTATCCAAGTTTGTTTTATGTTTTATATAGATTCTAATTTAAAACAGTTTCAGGGATTCATATCTAACCTATTCCTATCCCTAGCTTGGAATGCAAAACTAGAAATCAGGTTAAGGTGTAGGTGCAAATGGTTAACTATTATGGATTAAGAATATAATTAGTATTGTTAATGACAAAAATAAATGTTATTATATTTTAAAATGATTCAAATTCGAATAATTTTATCTGTGCACGTGTGAGTGTAAATAGATTAGATCTTCTACAAAAAGACCATTCGTGGATCGAACATACTTGGGGTTCCATCCACGTGGGTAGACGCATTCAACGGCATGCAAAGCGTGACAAATCCAACGGCAGGTATCCGTTAGTCAATCAAGCCATGGCTGCTGGGGGGACGAGCACAAGCCCTTGTATATATTCCTTACTTCTCTTAGCAATGCTGTAAAATAAAATCCACCGATATCCAGTAGTAAAACAAGTTTCAGACTCGAAAATAAAACATAATACAACCTACATGCCCCTTAATTATATGCGTCGTACTCCGCAAGCAATGCATGTGGGACTCTTTTACTGATGTCGATACGAACACATGATCAAATTCTTTAACTTGAAATGATAAGTAACATGGTGAATTTTGAAAAGCTTAGTAATACAGAACTACTAGATGAATACAATAGGTCACCAAGTATATGATAAAACATAGTTTTCCTTAGTGGGACAGACATTATCAGATTCTATCGGTGATTTCAGATTCCATCAGCTAAGTCTTCAGTTACAACCAGGAATTTACGGTCTGAATGAAGTATTCTGAGAGACATATTCAGAAGATTGAATTGGGGAGTCTAGTGTGTTCCAACAAAACAGAGAAATGTATACATATTCTTTAAAAACATTATTAGTTTAAAACATATTTTTAAAACCGCAATAAAACCCTCCAACCGAACACTTATATGCAGTTTTTCCAGAACTGCATCCATAAGGACTTACCCTAAGCACACAGCAAAGGAGCCAACCTAAGGGAGTACCTTGAGGCCTATGGACCTACCCAAGGGTCTCCTTAGGTCCATAAGGATTTACCAGCTTGATTAGAGCTGAACCTCCGTACTCCAATCTCCTACCCATACAATATCCAATAGAAATCAAATTGAGCAGTAACTTTAATATCAAAATAATGATCCAGTAGAATATTGTAAAAATGACAATTTAGTTATTTAAATCACATGAATGCCCTCCATCTGTATAACAATATACAATCCCATAAGGGAGTGCCTTGGGGCCTTAGAGCCTACCCAAAGAATACCTTAGGTCCGTAAGGAATTACCAACTTAATCAAAGTTGAACCTCCATACTCCAGCCTACCCTGATAGTGTCCTAATAAAACAGTTCAAGTAGTAACCAGTAGATTCCATGATCCATAAATCAGGAACAATTATATTTTACAGTGAAAACAGGAACTCAAAGAGCACATATCAGGTAACCATAGTTCATAAAGAGTAAACCAATACATCAGTAAATCAAAATATCGAACAGTTAAAAGATTCAATAAAACAATAACAAGATTCAGTAAAACAATAACTTCAGTAAATCACATTTCAGGACAGATAAAATAATCATATAGCACATAGGGAACACACTAGAGGATCCAGTTATTTTCCGGAGGTACTTAGTATTTATTAGGTAGGGAGTCATGATATTTTTTGCAAACTGATTGAATTTCAGAACGAGGTCCCTATAAAAGGGGAGTTTGATAGCTAACAAATTCATCAATCATTCGGGAAGTGATTTATCAAGATCATAGTATTAAGATATATCAGCAAGGTATTCAAGAATTATTGCATCATAATTATTTCTGATTCATACATTCCTACAATGTTCGTATTTAAACTTGAGTCATTTAAGGATAACAACTATCCATTTAACCATTGAAATCACTTGGTTTAAGGATAACGACCATCCCTTTAACCACTAAAATCATTATTTAATCGAACGTTATACAAAATCCGCAACTAATGCGGACGGACATGGTTGAATGTTTCAGGTGGACACTAATAGCAGGGAGACTGCCAGGACGGACAGACAACGAAGCGAAGAATCACTGGAACATTCACTTAAAAAGGAAACTTGTGCTGATGGGAATCGACCCCAACAATCGTCGTTCCCTTCTCTCTCCCACACTAACCAATAAACCCATTAACCCTAATCCCACGACTGCTTCAGAAGCCATCAGCACATCTTTATCAGACTTGAATCTCTATCTCACCATCGCCCCTCCCATTACCAGTCATGAAACTTAGCACTTGATTAATATCATTATTTGCAAACTAATCATAAGAACATATCTTATGTATGTAACTGTTGACATATCTTCGGCGAAGCTGTCTCTACAACTGCAACTATATTGATATTTGTTGTTAGTTTCAGTTAATTGCAGATTTTATTCTTATTTATTATCCATTTTTTTAGTTTTTAATTTTTTTACAAATTAATTGCTTTATGTAATCACCATATTTTTACCCAACCTTAAGTCTATCATTATTAATTATTTCTATTATTATATTAGTATTGTTATTATACTATTATTATATTAGTAGTACTAGTATTATATTATGTTACTATTGTTAATATTATTAGCATTATTATACTATTATTATAATGAATTTTAAATTTATGGGTTAAATTAATTTCTAAATTTGATTTCTAAATTATTTTTTTGAGTTAAATTAATTTCTAAATTTGATTTGGTCTCTAAATATTTTATAATGAATTTTAAATTTATGGGTTAAATTGACTAAAAAATTTAAAGATTAATTTGATCAAATGTATTAAATTTAGGAGATAATTTAAAAAAACATATGACTCAATTTAATTAAATTTATTAAGTTCAAAATTCGGAATTAATTAGAATTAAAATAAGCCTAAAAGATTTAGATTAACGACTGGAAAAAAAGTTGGGTAATAAGTTAAGGCAAAAGAAAACAAAACAAAAAAACCAAGTTAGAAAGAAGTGCTTAGTTCAAGGGCAAAAAATGCATATTATTCTATATTCTAAATCAAATTTAAAACCCAAAGTTAATTAGAATTAAAATAATATTTTTCATTTAATTATTGATATTTAATTTATTAATCAATTAATTTTTAATTAATCTTTTCTTCATTTATAATATTAATCTTATTGAAATCTTAATTTAGTCTTTCTTATCTCACTAAACTTTATAAACTTTTTGAGTTAATTGCATCACATATACTCAAAGTATGATCCTCATTTTACATTGATCCTTAAACTTTTAAAAATTTCAACTTTCAATTTCATACCTTAACTATTGTTATCATTCTAAATTAGTCCTCAAACTTTTGAATATTTCAATTTCATCCCCAAATTATGACTTTCATTCTAAATTGGTCATCAAAATTTTTAGAATTTTCAATTTCATCCCAAACTATATGTATATATCGATCACATCCATTGTTGATAAAATCGTTAGGTTAAATTATTTACTATATATTGAATAAAATCTAGATTAATTATGGTTGAAACTAATTATATATTTGCATGAATTTGGTAATAAAATTGAAATATTCAAAATTTTGGGGATTAATTTAGAAAGAGGGTCATAGTTTAAGAATGAAGTTAGAATATTAAAAAATTTAAAGATCAGTTTAGAATGAGAGTTATAGTTTAAAAAAATTAGATTTTTCAAAAAATTTAAGGATCAATTTCAAATGAGAGTTAGAGTTTGAGGATGTGATGCAATTAACTCAATTTTTTTAATAATATAATTATAAATATAATATATGTTAAGAATTTTTTTTAGTTTTTGATAACATGCCTGTAGTTACAACCATTTTAATCTATAACATTTAGAAAGAACAATACTACACTTCTTTTACACTCGTTCCATTTATCGAAGTCATTTAAAAAGAACAACACTATACTCCTTTTACACTCCTAATTATCGAAGTCATTAACTGTCAAAATCACTTCATCGAAGTCATTAACTATTAAAATCACTTCATGTGTGGTTTTATGCATGTTAATAAAATTATATTTGTTAGTACACTGCGTCATAGAAGAGGTATAACTTAGCATGAAATATGAAGTGCCATACAACTTCTCAAACGTACAACTATTACACTTGCACAAACTACATTGCACAAAAACTATTATTAATTAACATTTAACCACACTCTCCCAACATACTGAAACCGCTTTTATATTTATATTGAGAAGAGAGCAGTGGAGATTCAACTCAACGCCTTCGGCTGATGGGCTCCTTTTGGGCGTTGAAATACACAGTGGCGACAGGCAGCCCCAAGTTGAGGTGGTTGGCGAAGAACCTAGTGCTGAAGTTAGCCCGCGATCCCGGTTGCAGCACCGCACCCAACGGCCCCTTCTGTTGGAACAGCACCAGTATGTACCGATGAATGCCTACAGGCGGCCGTGGCCCCATGTAAGCCACGATTTCCTTCCCTGAAATATTCTCACATAATTAGTAGTATTAAACTTGAAGACTATATCCCGACCGAAGCCACGTAGACAGTGTGGTTGCATGGCACGTGGCAACATATAAGAGAATCCAAAGCTAGGATGGGATGATACTTGTTGTTCAAACAACTAACCATGTGTCTGATCTGTGATGCATGCAATTGCAAAATACATTGAAAAATAGAAATTTCAGGGAAAAATTATTGGGTTGCAGCGAGTCAGTGAAATATAGACAGGGAATTTTCGTTTTGGACAACAATTGTTAAGGTTGTATTGGATCCTTCACCTCTAATTACCAGTGCAATATATATTGCTCAGTATATGCTCTACTGCTGCAAAATGCAAAATGTTTATCTCAGCACTAAACAATTTCCCAGCAAAAAAGGAAAAAGAAATTGTGGGTTGCATGTATGCATGCATGCAAGAGTTGGTTAATCTCGGGTGAGATGAAAGAGAATGGAAAGAAAATAAAACTAAATATCATCATGATTACAGGACTAGTTTCTGCTGAAATATGATTTCCCTCACTCAAATGATTAGGGAAGACGATATAAATATGTATACCTCTTGTGGGGTTGCTTCCTCCAGGAATGTCAGAAACTATCCTGAGACATGAAAGAAAATGATCTGAGTTAGGGATAGACTAGGATTTTAAATCGAATGCCTTCTTGATCCATCTCCGAACTGGGTGATGTTTTACGAGATGAGCTACATGATTATATTATAAAATATGCGCTCAAAAGATAAAACACACACCAGTGAACCCATTCACGCATGCTTGGCTCGCTGGGGCTCGGCGCATCAGGGTCAGTCATAACCTGGTTTAAAACCCATTAGCATGCATAATCAATTGCCACACTCAGGCATATCAACAAACATTAAACACTCATAAATATAACCCAGTTCAAGTAAAAAAAGGGGTAACGAACCAAAGTAAAAAGCTGGTCGGAGATGCCATCGATGGCGACTTTGGGAGGGTTGATAGCCATGGAAGGCTTAATGTCACAACCATTGCTGACATGCTTGGAACCGTAGTAAACGGACATGGTGACAGTGGGAACAAACATGTCGATAACGTCGCCGATGACACGACAGACGACGAGAGGATCGACGGAGGTAGCCATGGGTGAGAAGAAGATGAAGAGAATTTGGTAATTGGTGCAGTTGAGCCGAAAGGGATTTATAAAAGGGGAAGAGTGGGGTTAGATTAGTGTGACGTAAGTGGCATGCATAGGGCATCAAAAGGTGAAATCAGCCAGAGACTGCCACGTGCTTCCCCTACCAGCTGTTAAAAGAGGTCGCTGCAATTCCTTTTGTTTTTGTATCCTAGTAATGCAACCAATCTCTGCTACAAAATTTTAATAACCTTATAAATCGTGTATTTTGTCATCATTTATTTTTTGATTTAATTTTAATCATTCAATTATTTTAAAAATATATTTAATTAGGCAAGAATTTAAAACTTTTTATATTAGTTATTTATTTTATTAATGATGTTCGCCTTAAAAGTTTATTTATGTCTATCGTATATGAAAATATTTTTGTTATACATATATATATTCAACCTCAAAAATATTTATGAATCCCCCACTATACTTAACATTTCATTTTGATTTTGTTTCAGTTATCTATTGTAAAAAAATAAATATAACTATTAATACGGTATATTTTTTATTTTTAGGGCAAAGTACACAAATTGTCTCCTTACTATAAGATGATACTTTATAAAGTCTATCGATTATTAAAAGTTACAAAATGATCATTTGACTATATGATGTTACTTTTTTGAGTCCAACAACAATTAAAAGTTACAAAAACAGTCACTCGACTATTTCATATGTTCCGAACTCGTCATTTTTTTGTTAAAAAATTGATAGTAATCTGAGTTGGACGATAACATGTTAACTATGATATAATTGTTGTTTGAGATTTTGGGATCATATTTTATCATATTTCTGTCAAAAAATTAACGTCCAACTAAAATTGCCATCATTTTTAACAATAAAAGGATAAATTTGGAAAATATGAAATAGTTGGGTGACCGTTTTGTAACTTCTAATAGTTGAGAGACTAAAAAAGCAACATCATATAGTCAAAAGACTATTTTGTAACTTTTAATAGTCAATGGACTTAATAAAGCATCATCCTATAGTCAGCGAACCATTTGTACACCTTGCCCATTTTTTTAATGATAATGTAGTATTACCTTATGAGACATTATCATCATCGTTAACATTATTGATTTATAACAAAATGATCACTCAACATTTATTTTCATTATATTAATGATGTGGCAACATTAATAAAAATGTTAATATTTAATTTTACCCTTAAATTATTTTTAAAACAACAAATAAGTCATTTAACAATGATTTTATATCAAATTTACCCCAAAACCTTTTAATTTGAAAGTAAAAGAGACTATATCACCCTTATCGGACAAAAACAACAACATATAGCTAACAATAAAAATTAAAAGCAAAAGTAAAGCAAGTTTATGATTGTTTCTTCACCAGCAATTGAGTTCGCCATTGTTATGGTTGTTATACCTAGAATAGAAGTGGATATTACATCCAAATCTGCTTAAAGTGCGAATGTGCACAAACAATAATACAAAAATAAAGAATGATCAAAGCAATATCAAGAGTTTATATATTCAATAGTATTTGATTATCTTATGTCTAACAATCTACAACAAAATCTCTTAGTTTTGTTGAAACTAAAGAAACCCAGAAAGCAAATTCACTGCAAATCAACATATTAGAATCAATTGTGATATTTAAGCAAGTTAAAATTATGGTCCCAAGAACTAAAGAAAACGAAATGTTCTCAGTTATAAATAAAGTGTGTGCTTTAAACTTGGGTATAAGCATATGCAAACTAGAGATATGAGAGTTAGTTAGATTTAAAGAATACTTTACTACATTACAGTGGTAGTTGTATTATTTTTTGGGTGAAGAAATGGTGGAGGGATAAATGGGTTGTTTCTGTGTCACTTGAAGCTTTTGAGAAAGATATTTGAAAATGAAATGAAGTTAGGTAACATGAAATCAGTAAAATGATGAAAACTAAGGATAAATGAGTTGTTTCGATATCAGCTGAAACTTTTGCTACAAGGTTTCAGTCACTTGCTCCCTGGTTCGGATGGTTAAGATATCAACTTCAATACAGAATCCACATTATCCTTCGTCTTCTTTGGATGATGAGACATTCATTTTCATGGTTGCAACAACCTTCATAATATAGAACTTCAGAATATAGAAAGAGAACATTTGTATGTTTTCTGTTACCTTATGGTTCATTACCACCTATTGAAGCATAACTCATGCATGGAGCAAACAAAGCTATTGCTACACAAACATTAGGAAAAATTATAAATACGTCCCTTGATTGTTTTTTTTTGCGGACCAAAATCAAAGATTCAAGAAAAAGCTAACCCACTATTTTCTAGTCATTCATCAATAATGTTAACGTTCAAAGTAACATCGTTGGTCTCGTATCCTTTCTAGAAGTTTACAAATTGACTAATCCCCAACCGACAATAGTTCAAACCTCTTCCCTTTTCAAATTAGAAAAATTCGAGGTAAATTTGATATAAAATTATTGTTCAATGGCCTATTTGATGTTTTAGTAATAATTTAAGGGTTAAACTGAATATTAACCTTTTTATTTATATTGTCACATCATCAATTTATCGAAAATAACATTGAAGTGATAATTTTGTTCAAATCCATAGTGTTAGTGACCAGTTTGTCACTTTTAAAACTTCAATGAGGAAAACAAAAATTTACACAAACATTAGTGATTATTGTTGTAATTTACCAATTTTTTAACGAGTGGTCACAACGTAACATTAATGAAAATTAATTAGATAATGAGATCAAAATTACGAAAAATAATATGAGATAAATCTATGCATGAGTTACTACAAATATGTAATATCTAAATATTCATACGTTACAAGCTCCTTTCATCTCTGGCAGTTTGTGTAGGAAAAAGATTGGAAGGAAAGGAAAGAAATGCAAAAAGGAACGATAATTATGAGAAGAAAGGGGGAGAAGATGTTTATTTATTTAAACATAACAACACAACTCATACTCCGTCTACATTATGTAGAATCAAAATAGAGTAAAAACTCTAATTGATCGAGAAGAAGAAAAACTCTCTTTAGAATAATCTCACAAAATTGCAAAAGTGAATAACTCTTAAGAAAGCTTTCAAATGCTTATAATTAAACTTTGATTGTTGGATGATAAAACTCAAATACAAGTAGGGTATTTATAGGTTATAAGAAACAATCTAAATCACTCATTAAAATAATCACTAAATAATCTAAACCATTGAAATTAAAAACATGAGAAAATACTTAATTTCACCTAACTAAATTGATGTAAGCAATGACATCAAAACTAAATTGATGTAAGCAATGACATCAAATTAATTTAGGTGTGAACTTATTTAGGCTAATATTGAATTTTCAACACTCCCCCTCAATGTTAGCCTCCATTCTTTGAATCACGCCATACTGACGACGGAAATGTTCAAACTTTCCAACACTCAAGCTTTTTGTAAACAAGTCAGCAATTTGCTTATCTGTCTTGATTTGCCTCATCCAAATATCTTCTTGCAAAACTTTTTCCCTAACAAAGTGGTAATATACTTCCACATGTTTAGTTATTGCATGAAAAACATGATTCTCTGCCAGCCGAATTGTCGATTGGTTGTCACAATACAACGGAATTGCATAATCTACTGGTTGATGTAGATTACTCATCAACTGTATCAACCATGTACTCTCTTGAGCTGCCATTGTTGCAGCTCGATACTCAGCTTCAGTGGTTGACAATGATACCGTTGGTTGTCTCTTGCTACACCAAGAAATTGTTCCGGAGCCAAGCTTAAACACATACCCAGTTGTTATCTCTTGGTGTCATGATCTCCTGCATAATCAGCATCACAATAACCAACTAACTTGCAGTCTTCACCTTTCTTGTACAAAAGACCATAGTCAATTGTACTCTTCACATATCTCAGTATTCATCGAACTGTTTCCAAATGAGGCTTCTTTGGATTTTGCATATACCGACTCATCACACCAACTGCATAAGAAATGTCAGGTCGGGTTAAAGTTAAATAGATCAGACTACCTACCAATTGTCGATACATTGTTGCATCTTCCAAATCTTTTCCTTCATGTGCACACATTTTGACATTTGGTTCATTTGGCGTTGAAATTGACTTGCATTCGAGCATTCCAAACCTATTAAACAAATCTTTAGCATATTTCTGTTGACATAGAAATATTGCTTCGTGTGTACGAACAACCTCTAGACCAAGGAAGTGCTTAAGTTGTCCAAGTTCCTTTATCTGGAAACAAACTGATAAATTCTCCTTCGTTTGAAGAATTTTTGTCTCATCATCACCGGTTATGATTAAGTCATCCACGTAGACTAGCACGATAGCTAGCTTACCTTCATTGACTTTGACGAACAAGCTAGAATTTGCAGGTGTTACTGAATAGCCACTTTTCGTTAGAAATTCAACAATCTTACCATACCATGCCCTAGGTGATTGTTTCAATCCGTAGAGTGCTTTTCGCAGCTTACACACATGTTCAGGATTATCTTGACTCTGAAAACTCATCGGTTGGGTCATGTAGATCTCTTGATCTAGCTCTCCATGAAGAAAAGCATTCTTCACATCCATCTGCCACAAATTCCAGTCTTTGTTAGCTGCAAGTGCAAGTAAAACTCGTACGGTTGTAAGTTTTGCCACTGGACTAAATGTTTCATCATAGTCTAGTCCATATTGTTGAGAAAAATCACGAGCTACTAATCGTGCCTCGTACCTCTCGATTGACCCATCAGGACGACGCTTTATCTTGTAAACCCATTTGCAAGATATGGGTTTCACATATTTTATCTTTGGCACAAGATCCCAAGTTTGATTTTGCTGAAGTGCATCGATCTCTTCTTTCATAGTTGTCATCCACTCAGAACTCTGAAAAGCTTCTTCGAACGTCTCAGGCTCTGTTACTTCTTCAATTATGACTGCAATGGCATATTTGGGATTTGGCCTTCGTATTCTTGTTGACCTTCAGAGTTGAGATTGTGGAATTGAATCT